CCGTACCACAGCCACTACAGACCACATAACACACACAACCGCACCACCACCCACACGCCGCCGCCAACAACTCCTGGTTCCCCCTACAATCTGCACGGTATGTCAGACCAGGATATTTCGTAATGTGACATCAGTCAAGTGCAACACCTGCCTTGGCTGGTGCCACTTTAGGGCATGCTCAGGTCTGCGTACCACGCGAGATTGGACGGGGAACTTCGAGGGCCCGTGTTGCGCTGCTCGGTCGCAGACTCCAATTGCGACGCCCCCCACCACCACCACAGGGCGGCAATCACCTCAGCAGCACACACAGCCAACGGCGGCAAGAACATACACTTCACTTACACCCCACATCACGACACGTCTCCCGAACCACATGAAGCTCCTTCAATTTAACTGCAACGGGCTACAGAGCAAGATTGAGGAGATAACCGTCTTCATGTGTCGGCATGGTATATTAATAGCTGCGGTCCAAGAGACGAAGTTGCACAGCAATTCAACTTTGTTGAATTGCGCCGGGTACAACGTGCACCGTCGAGATCGCGAGCGAGATAATGGTGGTGGCTTAGCGTTCATCACGCACCACACCGTGCAGTATCGTCTTATCGAAGCAGACATCGACCGCAGGGATACCACCCTAGAATGTCAGGGCATCGCTATCCGGGTAGGCGATGTCGAGCTCGAAATATTTAACATATACATACCCCCTGTCACCTGCTGCCCGGCAGGATATCACCCTGATATAGGTGCGCTCCTCAGAGGTGAAAACCGTATGGTAGTAGGTGACTTTAATGCGCACCACGATCTTTGGCACTCAAGCCTGTCAAACGATCGTAGGGGAACAGACTTGGCTGAGCAGATAGACGATTCGACATTCTGCACAATGAACGACGACGCACCCACCAGGATTATGGGTAACTGCAGTAGCTCGCCAGACATCACAATAGTAACCGCTGGTCTGATAAACAGCATAACGTGGCGACCTATGCTGACTCATAGACCCATAGTCATCTCGATTGATAAACCAACCGACTTTGCTTCCGCCAAACACCGGACCTATATCAACTTTTCTAAAGCTGATTGGAAAGGTTACGCGGAGTTTACCGAAAACACCTTCGCAGCGCTCCCCACACCAACCGACGTCCATCTCGGTGAACGTAAGCTCCGCAGGGCTATCACTGCTGCTGCAGCTCGCTTCATACCGGCAGAATGTATATCGGACCCACGTCCAAACTTCCCTGCCGAAGCGGCTGTTCTAGCCGATGAGCGTGATAGCCTTCGTCAGGCCGATCCCGGAGATCCCCGTATCAGGGATCTCAACACGGAGATTCGGCAACTTGTAAACGTACATAAGCGGAAGAAGTGGGAGGGGCATCTGAAGACCTGTAATTTCACCTCTGGTGTGAGCAAGCTTTGGTCAACCGTGAGGTCATTGTCTAATCCGACGAAGCACGACGACAGAGTCGAAATTTCCTTCGGCGACCATGCCTCGTCGGACCCGGAGCGATGCGCGAGCTATTTTAGCCGGCAGTTCATACTGCATCCTCCGGTGGACAAAGCCAAGCGTCGAGTGATCAGAAGGCTGCACAAACTGCCAACAACTTGTGCCCCCCTTGCTTTCACTTGCGGTGAAGTTCAGGTGGCCATCGGGAAGGCTAAAGCCTCCAAAGCCATGGGTCCCGACGGAATATGCATGCTGATGCTGAAAAATTTGGGTCCTGCGGGGGTAGCGTACCTAACGGAGGTCCTCAACTTGTCAATGGCCACTCTCATCATCCCAGACATCTGGAAGGTGGGGAGAGTGGTCCCACTGCTCAAACCGGGGAAACCTGCCAACAAAGGAGATTCGTATCGTCCGATTACACTCCTTTCCCCGGTAGCGAAGACACTCGAGGCCTTGCTACTCCCGTACTTCACAAACCACCTGACCCCAGCGAAGCATCAGCATGGTTTCCGTAAAGTGCACAGTACAACAACAGCACTTAACGCCATAAACACTCAGATAACTCGTGGCCTTAACCGTAACCGTCCCTGTGAGAGAACGATTCTAGTAGCGTTGGACTTGTCAAAGGCGCTACTAGAAGATATAGAGGCCTCCTCTCTCCCACAGAGGCTCAAACGGTGGTCGGCAAATTATCTGAGTGGTCGACATTCGTCGGTAATGTTTAGAGACAAAACGAGTAAGCAGCGAAAAATAAAACAGGGGGTTCTTCAGGGTGGTGTCCTTTCCCCGCTACTGTATAACTTTTACATTTCAAAGCTCCCTCAACCACCAGAGGGAGTCTCGATTGTCTCCTATGCCGACGATTGCTCGATCATGGCGACTGGGAATGGAATTGATGACCTGTGTTCGAAAGTAAACGGCTATCTCTCCGAACTTTCTCGCTTCTTCACTGCAAAGTACCCTCTCCCCTACGAAATCATCCGCGACCCTGTTCACAACCTGGACGAAGGAGGTCAGGCTACCGCTGGGGATTCACGTCGATGACACACCAATTCCGACGGTGAATAACCCCAAAATACTCGGAGTAACATTCGACAGCCTGCTCTCCTTCTCTGCGCACTCAACCGCTATTGTCAATAAAGTACAGAGCCGCAACAAGGTCGTCAAGTCGCTAGCCGGCAGTACTTGGGGCAAAGACAAAGAAACGTTGCTGGCAACATACAAGACAATAGGCCGGCCGGTTTTGAACTACGCAGCGCCAGTGTGGCCGCCAGGGACTAGTAGGACGCAGTGGACGAAGCCACAGACTGTACAGAACACTGCACTCAGGACAGCGACGGGATGCCTCTTGATGTCGCCTGAACACCACCTGCACGGCGAGGCGCAAATGCTCCCTGTAAAGGAGCATAATATAATGCTCTGCAAGCAGTTCCTGATCGGGAGCCACAGAAGTGGCCACCCAAGCAGACAGCTGCTTGCAGAGGAGCCCTCGCCTAGGCACGTCAGGAGGCATCTATATGAACTGACGGACGAAGTCCAGAGGTTCATTAAGCAACCTCTGGACCCGACAGCTTACAGACAGACCCTGAACGGCATTCACAGGGACTCAGTCTCGAGTTATGTAGACTCTAGACCTGTGAATGCCGTTCTAGGCATACCACCCCCGGACATAGACGAGACGGAGCTTCATCTGCCTCGGGAGACACGCACAACACTCGCACAACTTCGCTCCGGCTACTGCAGCAGGTTGAACTCCTACTTGAGTAGGTTGAATGAGGATGTGCCGAATGAGTGTCCGGCATGCGGAGAGACCCCACATGACTCGAAACATCTCTTCGCATGCCCGGAAAACCCGACAACCCTAACGGCCTTGTCCCTGTGGACAAACCCCACAGAAGCTGCACGCTTCCTAGGGTTGCCGTTAGTGGAACTTGACGACAACGACTGAGATACCAACCGATCTGGGCGGGGTTGTTGTAGCCGCTACAACAACAACAACATATGGTACTCATTTAAAGTATAGCTTTAAAAATATCGGGTACCCATTAATATCGGAATAAAAGACTCGATATTCCAAATATCGATACCAAAAACCAAAAAATTTATCTGAATATAGGTCTCGCATATAGGCCGCTGGGGTGTAGTGGTTAGAAGTGCGCAAACCTTGAAACTGAAAAACAGCTTCCCATAAAATACAAACGCCGTTCAGAGTCGACAAAAAGCTGTAGGCACCCCCTTTGTGCCACAGCATTAACGCACACGCGACAAATCGGAGGAGAAGTTCGGCCAAACACTAACATATTGTGTAAGCGCCGGACTTTATTATTATTACAACATGTAGAGATTGAGCACCGAGGCCGCGGGTTCAAATCCCACCACATGCAATCCTAAACATAGTACAAATTTCTGCACTTTAAAGCCCAATTTATATCGGGAAGAATTGTTACAGGCCAACCTTATATGCGTGCGTAAAAAGCTAACTCAATTTCCAAGATTTGTCTTGCGTAAAATTTCGATTTGACGTTTATAACTTATCTTCTGTAAATTTGACAGAAATGCAACTCTGAGAAATCACTCACGCTAATTGATTTGGGTTTATCAATTGAGAAAAACTTGCGTGCGTGCGTAGAAAAACTCTCGCCGGTAATATTAGGTTGAGCTGTTAATAACATTATCCTTCACTGAGAAAAATAACGCGTTGTAAGAATAAAAATTTTTTATTTGATTACCGTTTAAAAATGTTCGTATTTAAATCAAGTGAAGTTTTAACAAAATGGATTTTTCCATTATACATACACTACGTACATATAACGGAAATATTCAATTCAAATACGCCCGTATTAAAATGAAGCATTTTTCACTACACGGATGGCCTTTTGCACGTCTCGGATGCTTTTTCATATCTAATTAAGAAAGTATATGGTATAAAAAGCATGCACAGTGGTGACAACACATACACACATATATGGTTTTTTTTTTTTTTTTTTTT